AGACCTAAGTAGGTTAAGTGCCTGGTTTAGAAAAACACAGCTAGATAGTCATGATTTCTGATCAAGTGTGGAGAATGAGTTCCTTCTGAGGACAGACAAGGCCTAATTATGTAAGGCTTTGGTATGTTTTCAAGCACTGCCAAAAGGCCACGTTTAGGAGTGATAGTTTGGCAATACGACATACACTTAAGGCAGATGACAGGGTACAAACACATGCAGCAGGAAGAAAGCTGGACATACTGCTATTAAGATAAGTAATATAAGATAGTGAGTAGTTAAGGTGAAGTGCCATGAATGAGTTATAGGTATACAGAGAGACTGACCCCTAAAACCCCATAGCCCTAAGGGCAGTTAGGTGGGGCCTGAACCTGAAAGATTCCCTGGGCTGGTTACAACTGTGATGACAAACTTAAATCAGGTGTTGTACAAATAGCAAATTTCATCAATTCTTAGATAAGCATTTTTTCATATTTATATCAGGAATTATAGTGAGCATCACATCAGATGGCTTCTTATTTATTTATTTATTTATTTATATATTTTTTGAGACGGAGTCTTGCTCTGTTGCCCAGGCTGGAGTGCAGTGGCAGGATCTCGGCTCACTGCGAGCTCCGCCTCCTGGGTTCACACCATTCTCCTGCCTCAGCCTCCCAAGTAACTGGGACTACGAACGCCCGCCACCACACATAGCTCATTTTCTGTATCTTTAGTAGAGATGGAATTTCACCGTGTTAGCCAGGATGGTCTCGATCTCCTGACTTCGTGATCCGCCCGCCTCGGCCTCCCAAAGTGCTGGGATTACGGGCATGAGCCACCGAGCCTGGCCTCAGATGGCTTTTTAAAGTGACAGTTAACCAGGGCAGCAGTCATGACTCAGTTGTTTTTGCGAGTGCATGCATGAACTTCTTCATAGCTCTTCTACACTTCTATAGAGTTATGAGTATTGTTTACTCTATATTTACTATGTTTAATTGCCATTTATAGCACAATAGGGTGACTATAGTCAATAATAATAGTACATTTTAAAAATAACTTAAGGAGTGTAATTGGAGTGTTTGTAACTCAAAGGATAAATGCTTGAGGGGATGGATACCCCATTCTCCATGATGTGCTTACTTCACTCTGTATGCCTTTCATGTACCCCATCAATATATATACCTACTAAGTATCCCCAAAAATTAAAAAATAAAATTTTAAAATACTGACATTTAAAATGTCTTTTAAAAGACTATGGTGTAATTTGGCATAACAAAAAGTTACTGGGTATGGAAATAAGCATGAAAACAGAACAACAGGTTGCAAACTTGTACTGGTGAGGCAAATATGGACTATTGGAGGAACAGCCACAATTCTGTGTATTCTTGCAAAGCAACCAAATAATTTACAATTTCTAAAAATGGTGGATAGCTTTGAGTAGATAAGTTACTCAAGTTGCTTATTTCACTTTAAGGTTGGAGAAATCACCAAATCCCTCAGAATATAAGAAAAAATTGTATCAGGATGAAAGAACAGTTTTTGAGTCACAAGTACTCTTCTTAAGGCATCAAACGTTAATTTGCCAAAAACTTCCTGCTGTCTTTGAATAGAAGCTATTAAATTTCCAAAGATGTATGATTCAGCAGTTGCTGCAAAATGTAACTATATGCTTAGGTAGGAAATAGTGATAAACCTTTACATGCTTTGACAACCATCAAAATTATACTGTCCATGCTAAAGGTACTAAAAGTGCATGGATTTATGTAAATAAGTGGCGTGACACTATGACACTGTGCATAGGCATGCCACTATATTTAACTGAAAACTGTAAAATGTTTAATAAAATCTTCTGTGATGATATTGTGCATACTCACAAGAAGGGGATGCACAATGTTTTAGTTGATGATCTAGGTGCCGTGAACACTGAATTAGTAAATACTAAATCATTGCTTCTAGGGGAAATACAGGTTAGGTTTCTGTGAGCCTGTGGTCACAATATTTTCATTAGATAATCAATACATAACCTTGTTTTATGTGCATTTCTATTTTAAAAAACCTTATGTAATATATATTGTTGATTCATTAGCATTGAATTACAGCCAACAGCACTGTAAGTGAAAACCTGAACAAACCTTATCTAATACTTGTATTTTCTCTGTAAGGCACATGAAAGCCTTCTTGGACTTGGGATCACTAAATAGCAGTTGAGCACTATGCTTGGGGGCTATTTTAAACATTGAATTCACTGACAAAAATCTCAAAAATGGGAAAATGAGCATTAAACAGACCATCGAGAGGACACCTGTTTCCAGTATAAGAGCTGCAAGAAGAAGGCAGAGTATCACCTTGCTCAACCTTGGCTGGGAACTAAAATTTTTTGCCACCCTGTGAATATTTGTGAGTGACCATGAGAACTCTGTAAGTACAGATTTGGGAATTACCAATAAATTTTAGCAAGGAGTTCAAAATGCAAAACCCATAAATAATGAGGATGGACAGAATTTTGTAAAACTTCAAAGTCATATGGCAAAGGATGTGGGTAAAGGGAAGATTAAAAAATTGGAACCAGTGATGCCCAATCTTGGGATCCGTCTCAGACTTTTTGAATCAAAATCTGTATTTCATATTCCCCAGGTGTTTCTATGCACCTCTGAGACATGCTGCCCTCAATACCATGATAGGTACATCCATACCAGACGGTGGAAGTTAAACTGTATAAACCATATAAACCAGACGGTGGAAGTTAAATTGTACAGTTTAACTCTACAAATTACAGTCCTACATTTGTAAAGGTTTTATGGGTCTAAAGGTCTGGGGTGTGCTAGGACAACCTCTGTAAGGTGAAAGACAAGTTCCTGCATCTTGCAATTCCTATTAAGAGCAAAATGGCAGACCACCTACTGGGCCTCTTTAGCTTTTGAAGATAGAATATACACTTGGGAATACAGCTTCAACACATTTATTGGGTGGTATAGAAAGCTGCCAATTTGAGTGGATCCCTAGCAAGACAGAGCTCTGCAGCAAGTCCCTGCTGGGATGCAAACTGTCTTGCTATCTGACCTTGTGTTTCAGCAGATCCAATGTGGCTAGTGTCCCTGGAAGATAAAGATGCTGTGTGAAGTCTTAAGCAACCTTAACAGGTGAAGCACAGTGCAGAACCTCAGGGATCTAGAGCAAGGCCATTCCTTGGATAGTAAGTAATTTGAAAAGCAGCCCCTGGCATGCACTGGGCCCAGGAGAGACTAAGAGTCTGGCCATGTAGCTCTAGTGATAATGCAACTAAGCCCATCACAAGCTGGACACTGCCAGTTTTACCAAGCCAAAGTGTTAGTTGAGTATAGCAGCAATGCATTAGGCAGATAACGATGAAGAGGAGTTAAGGTAATGAAACACCTCTGAAGTCAAAGAACAGTGGCCAGAAGAACATGGGTGGGAGAGTTGGAAGTTTCCCAAGAAAAGCAAGCTCAGCATAATATTATCTTTTTCTGACTCCCTAACTGCTCTCTACCTGAATTTCCTCTATTAGGTGCAGAATAGTAACATGCAGGTCAAATTTATGGAGTTATCATTGATAACTTCTGCTTATCAAAGGCATCATCCCTTAAAACAGTATCTCTTTAATCTGTGCCTTTCTCCGTGGCTACTGTCTTAATTTTTTCAGCATTTATTTCTCACACGTTTTCCACATTATTGACAAGTGATGTTTCTGCATATCTGATCATCCCATTTATTCTTCAGATGTTTACTGAACATTTTCTATGTATCATGCACTGGGTTAGGCCCTGGATAAACAATGTGAAGAAGAAAAAAGAGACAATGTTACTGGGCTCCTGGAATTTGCAGTTCGGTGAAAAAGATACATAACACATCCTGCTTAAGATCCTTCAGTGGGCCGGGCGCGGTGGCTCAAGCCTGTAATCCCAGCACTTTGGGAGGCCGAGACGGGCGGATCACGAGGTCAGGAGATCGAGACCATCCTGGCTAACACGGTGAAACCCCGTCTCTACTAAAAATACAAAAAACCAGCCGGGCGAGGTGGCGGGCGCCTGTAGTCCCAGCTACTGGGGAGGATGAGGCAGGAGAATGGCGCAAACCCGGGAGGCGGAGCTTGCAGTGAGCTGAGATCCGGCCACTGCACTCCAGCCCGGGCTACAGAGCGAGACTCCGTCTCAAAAAAAAAAAAAAAAAAAAAAAAAAAAGATCCTTCAGTGGTTCCTTGCTGTTTTCAGGAAGCCCAGATGTCTTGAGCGGGTTGCCTCTGTTTACCTCTCCAGCATCACCTCTAATCAGTACCCTTTACTCTGCAGCCACAGTGCGTTTTCCCTTCTTCACAGCACCCTCCTCTCTGCCTGGGTAAAGTCTACCATCTTTTAAGGGTTCAGTCCAGCAATCCACTTTTTCAGGAAGACTTCTGGACACTCTCTTCCCCCTTCCTCCGTAGTTCCAGCACACCTCATGCCATCACTATCATATAGGTACCACGCTTTTTATCCTGATTCTCCGTTGTCTTGTCCACTGCCTCTAGTCCACAGTGAACTCAACTTTGTGTCCTCAATACTTAGTACAGTGATTTCTAGTAATCGACATTTTTTCTGTCAAATTGAATCGGATATATAGAAATACCCGCTGCCTCCCGCAAGGGCAGATAAGGCCAACCCATCACTCCTGCGCCTCGACAAAGGAACAACAGCACCGTGCTGCACGGAGTCCTCTGGCCTTGCTGCCTGGCAATGGGTAGCCACCTGGGCGTCTGTCTCAGAATAGGGCTCCGCGGCGCGCCTCCTAGCGCCATCGGTTGACACTGCAAGAATGGGAGGGGGCCGGTGAGCACGCGGTCCCAGACCTGCGCATGGCGCATGCGTAGAACGCGAGCGCTCGGCAAGGCTCGGCTCGGAAGAGTCCAAGCGTGAGGGGACAGGACTGTGAATTCAGATACTGTTTTTCTCCCGAAATAGGTATTTGGCTCCTATTTTTTTCCTCCTCGACAGCATCTTAATTTAAAATATGACACTTGACCTACGGACCTGCAGGGGGCGGTTAAGAGGATGAGAGGCCAGTCAAACTCTTTTTGGTGTTTAGGCGCCCCTACTCGGGGCGGTGTGTTGGGAGGGCCCAGGTCAAGGCGCGCGTGGGCGGAAGCGGCGGCGGCGGCGGCGAAGGCGGCGGCTGTCAGAGCAGGAGGGCCGGGCACCGCGGCCATGGAGGGTCAACGCTGGCTGCCGCTGGAGGCCAATCCCGAGGTGGGCGCGCTTCGGGGCAGCCCTGGGCCGTGGGCTGGCGCAGAGGGAGCCGGCTTGCTGCCGCGAGTCCACGGTAGTTTGTCTCTAAAGCGTGTTCTCTGTTTCGTTTTCAGGTCACCAACCAGGTGAGTGAGGTGTCTGTCGCTCGGGACCTCGGAGTCCTTTCTGTCTGCTCGGTCCGCTTCCCTGCTGGACTTCACCTCCACGCTTCCAAGGATTCTGGGATTTAATTTCTTGAGGGCCCCTCTTGTTCGGCTTTACGCGGGTCCGCCCCTTTCAGAAAGGGCCATCTCCCTGCCACCTGGCTCCTGGAGATGCTCCCACCACTCCTCCGGTCCCATTCCTCAGCCACCACGTATCTTGGGGACTCCGGGTCAGAGGTTTGGAGGGACTTTTACCCTGTATTCCTATTCCCCTTCCTTCTTCGTTTTGCCTCCTGTTAGTGCCGATTCCATAATTTTCCTCCTGGTGTACCTTCTGGATGACTAATTTGCCCACACTTCCTGACTCCAAGCTTTGTAAACTCGCCCACCCAGTCCTTGTAATTTCATCCACCGCCTGCACTATGAAATCATCTTCCAATCATCTCTTGCCCCATCAAGTCACTTTTCTTCCCCGCCACGCCCCCTTTATCTTACAGTCTTTTAAAGCTGGACATTTAGTTGCTGTTGTATCAAAGAAAGCTCAGTTTAGTAGTTCCCACGCCATTCTTTGCAATCTACAGCAGTTTAAATTCCTTCTAGGTGTTGGAGGTTGGGGTCTGGGGAGGGACGAGGGAACATCTCCCAGTCACTCAGAAGAACAGTAAGTGCTACCAGGTATAAACTTTTGATCTGCTCAGGTGTGCCTTATCTTACCCTGGTTTTTTTTCATTCTCAACAGCTGATTTATTTTTTACTGCTCTACTAGTTTATCATACTCCCCTTACCTCCACCATCTTCCTTCTCGTCACCAGGGAACAATTAACCGTGTTCTTAAAAAAATTGGTTTTTGGTTTTCAAAGCTTGTAGCAAATTCCCTGGACAGAGAGACATCCTTGCCTTGTTCTCTTAGGGAGGAAACATTTGATCTTTCACCATTAAGTATGTTAGCTTTAGGTTTTTGGTAAATGTGTTTTAAATCGGGCTAAGGAAGTTCCTCTTTTCCCACTAGTTTGCTGAGAGTTTTTCTTATGAATCTATGTTGAATTTTCGCAAATGATTTTTCTGCATCTCTGAGATGATCATTTAAGGAAGAAATAATACCAATCCTACATAAACATAGAAGAGGGGAGACGGCCAGGCGTGGTGGCTCACACCTGTAATCCCTAGCACTCGTGCTCTGGGAGGCTGAGGTGGGCGGATCACCTGAGGTCAGGAGTTCGAGACCAGCCTGGCCGGTGAAACCCCATCTCTGCTAAAAATACAAAAATTAGCCGGGTGTGGTGACGCACTCCTGTAATTCCAGCTACTCGGGAGGCTGAGACAGGAGAATCGCTTGAACCAGGGAGGCAGAGGTTATAGTGAGCTGAGATTGCACCACTGCCCTCAAGCCTGGGTGACAGAGCAAGACTCTGTCTCAAAAAAAAAAAAAAAAAAAAAGACACTTCCTAACTAATTTTGTGCTAGCATTACCCTGACGCCAAACTAGACAATTCATAATAAGAAAAACTGCAAATCAGTATCCCTCCTGAACATGGATGTAAGAAATCCCCTACAAAATATCAGCACATAGAATACAGCAATAAATATATAAAAAGAGTAACATATGACCAAGAGCAGTTTATCCTGGTGTTGCAAAGCTGGTTCACCACTCAAAAATCAACGTGATTAGCCATATCAATAGACTAAAAAAACTTTTTAGATGATGTTAATTGTTTTAACAAACTGTAAGTTTGTGTAAGTAGGAACTTATGTCCTGTGATTCAGCTGCTAGTGGACCTTGTTCCTAGGGTGTCTTGAAAAATTATCAAACACATTAATATTTTAGGGGCACCTTTTTTAATACCAGTAATCTGAACAGGAGCTGGTGATTCTTTGGTGATTAAAATATTCATGGTTTTCTGCTTTTCAATCCAGTTGAAAGACAGTAAACAAGCAAACAAGTCATTAGCGTTTATTATAAATACAATAAGAAACAGAACATAGTGCTTTGATGGAGCCCATCAGGGAAAATGTAATACATGGAATAGTGACAGGAGACCTTTCTGAGATGATCTAAACAGACAATGTTATTTAGTATATGATTTTACACTATATCTGACATGCTTTGGCATGATTTAGTTTGTCTTAAATTTATTTTTTAAAGAAATAATGTGTTTTTAGTGGGAGAATGGGCAAGTATGTAAGAAGTGATTAGTTATTACTAAAACTTTTGTGGTTGTTTTATTCTCTATGTTTTAGTGGCAGAACCAAGAATAGAAGATGGATAGAAATGTAGTTAACTGACTTAGAATTTGGAGAATGAATAAACCCTAACAACAATATCCATCCCACCCTCTTTTATTTCCTCAACCTAATGGAATGGTAGGATCTTGGACTCACTCTGTTACCATCTGGTAATTGCATGTGTTGTTGTTATAATCAGTGTGAGCAAATACTGCTTTAGACTCTGATGATGCCTAGTGTTGTATAAGAATGACCATCACATGTCTACTACATGCAGATGAGTATTAATTGTTAGACATTATCTAGTAACCATGTGGTTCAGCAAATGTGGTAGACAGTGATTTCTCTTGTTGGTTAGCATGCTGTCAGTCATGCTACAGGTAGGACTTAATCAGAATAAAATGAGTTAAGTGATCAAAAAAATTATTTAAACATTTTAAACTCTACTTTATTTACCTATGCATTTAAAGGGGTAAATGCAGCTTGCAGCTGATAGAAAGTTACAGATAATTAAACATCAAGAATTACAACGTTTATAGAATGTGATATAGGCAATCATTATTATTTATGACCATACTAAATCTTCATTGTGATTTTTTTTTTGTGATTTGAGTACAGTACAACCACATGTATATTTTACATATTGTTGTGCTTTAGAACTCATGGGTTTTTTTTATACGGACCCCTTCCCAACCCAAGGATGATTATTTCTACTTGTGATTTTATTGAGGAGGCAAAATATTTTCTAGCATAATATCAAAAGGGAAATAAATTTACTATAGCATAACTATTCTATTTAGCCTGTATGCTTACAGTTAGAAAAAGAATTAGAGATCATCTGCTGGCTTATTGCCTTAATCACAATAAATCATATAAATTCTCATAAGAATTCTTTAATTAGTAGATACCATTTTAGGAAAAATTCTTTGTTAGCCTGTCCTCCTTGAGCTGCTGCCTTATCTGTTCTCCTTCTTTGTAAACTTTCCACAAAGAATTGTTCATAGCTGCTGCCACTGCTACCTCAGCTCGCATTCTTTTCCGTATTCATTCCTTTGTAGCTTGCTTCTGTGTGTACCATTTTGTAGTAACTACTTTTGTCAAGTTTACTAATGATTGCCACTTTGCCACAGTGATCACTTTTCTGTCACCATATTTCTTGGCCTTTCAGCAGCATTTGGTAGTATAGCCCACTCCATCCTTACTGAAACATTATCTTTTCTTGGTTTCTGTGATAATTCTGATTGTCCTCTACTTTCCTAATTGCTTCGAAGAGTCTCCGTTGCTAGATCGTCTCCCTTCCAACTTCTAAGGAGCTCCTCAGCCGCTTCATCTTAGACTGCTAATCTTTTCTATGTGTTTTCTTGCCCTAGTAATGTTTTCTGTTGTACAGTTCTAATACCATCAGTTGTCACATAGATGACCCCATGTTCCTCGAAACCCTGACATTGCCACCAAATTGGAAATCTGTGTATTCAGCCAACTCTTTGGTATCTCCATCTGGATGTCTTATAGATACCTTAAACTTAATATGGCCAAAAAAGAAGTACGGATTTTCATCTTCCCATCTCTGCTCTAAACCCATTTCTTCCCTATCTTCCAAGGGCATAGCCATCCATGCAGTGTTTGAGGTGACGAGTTGATGCCACTGATTCTTCTTTCAGATTGCCATTCCAGAGAGGCTGTAGTGTCTTGATTTGATTCTTGGATTGTAATCTCTGCTTTGCTATTTACCAGCTCTGCGACCATGGGCAGTTACCTAACCTCTTTGTGCCTTAGTTCCTTAATTTCTTCCTTTCTTTTTTCCTTTTTTAAAGACGGGGTCTTGTTCTATCCAGGCAGGCTGAATTACAGTGGCACAATCATAGCTCACTATAACCTTGGAATTCCTGGGCTCAAGCAATCCTCCCACCTCAGCCTTCCAAGTACATAGGACTACAAGCTTGCATCATCACACCCGGCTACTTTTTGTATTTTTTGTAGAGACAAGACGATTTTACTCTGTTTCCCAGGCTGGTCTCAAATGCTTGGCCTCAAGCAATGAGTTCCTTCATTTCTTATAATCTTTTCTAATCTTGTAAGATCACTGTAAGGATCAAACAAATTACTACATGTAAAATATGTAGAACAACGTCTTGAACAAAGCATGCTCTCCATGAATGTCAGCTATTTTTAATATTCTGTTTCTCATTCCTCGGGTCTAATTGATCTTAAGGACTCTTCTTGCAAAGGCTGTTCCAAATATGGCTATTCCATTTCAGCTGCCACAGTGCAAGCCACCATCATCCTTAGCTTGGACAACTATAGTAGATGCCTAAGTAGTTCTTCTGCTCTCCTTTTGCTTCCGTAAAATCTAATTTTCATATATACCCAAAGTGGCCTTAAATAAATGAGAATCACATGTTATGACTTCCTGCTTATCATACTCTTCTGGTCTTCCAATGCTTGTGCTTAGAATATACTTAAAACTTTTTTGTGTTTTTAAACTTTTAGCTTCAGGAGTACATGTGCAAATTTGTTATATAGGCAAACTCGTGTCACAGGGATTTGTTGGAAAGATTATTTCATCACCCAGGTACTAAACGTGGTACCTAATAGTTATTTTTTCTGATCCTCTCCTCACCCTTCACCCTCAGGTAGGCTCCAGTGTCTGTTCCCCTCTTTGTGTCCATGTGTTCTCATCATTTAGCTCTCACTTACAAGTGAAAACATGTGGTATTTGGTTTTCTGTTCTTGTGTTAGTTTGCTAAGGATAATGGCATCCAGCTCCATTTCAAGCTTGTATCATGGCTGAATGAGGAGATACTGCCCATCTCCTTTCCACTCATACTGTGCTGCAGTCTTTGAATGTGGAGTCTGTTCTTGCTTCAGAGTCTTTGCACTTGCTCATCCTTTGCTTGAGTCATCCACTCCTGGTTGTTTCATGGTAGGTTCTTTTGATCTGTGGCTCAAGTTCAAGTCATCTCATCAGTGAGTCTTTGAGTACACGCTAAATTAGCCTCCCAAATCTGTACTGTCATGTTTTCTTCATAGTACTTCCCATCTTGTGAAATTACCTTGTTTATGTGTATACTTGTTTATCATGTGTATCTTACCACTAGAATGTAAGTTCTGTGAGAGCAGGGATGAGTCTGAAGTATGAGAACGGTGCCTGGCTCATAGGGGGCCGTCAATAAATAGGTAGTTGTCAGATGGAAGAATGAATAGATCTTATAGACCTGCTTTCCTGATCCAGAAGATCCCCCAACATTATTTTTAATATGGTCATGAATCCTTTGCCTATCTCAATGAGCAGCGTTCTGTCTTTTAAAGTGGTTTAATTTTTTTATTATAATAATGAGAATAATATATAAGTAGAAGAATTATATTTCTTTTATTGAAACAAAATCTGCTTTCCTGTAACTTTCTCCAGTTGTCTATCATTCTTCCCATTGAAACTATAGAGTAAATCTAATTGCTTTTTTAAAAAACTCTTTAAATTAAAAAAATTTGTTTCTTTTTAAGATGGAGATCACACTATGTTGCCCAGGCTGGCCTCCAGCTCCTGGGGTCAAACAATTCTGCCACCTCAGCCTCCTGAGTAGCTGGACTACAGGCATGTGCCACTGTACCTGGCTCCTAATTGCTATTTTATGATATTACTAAAAATATCTAGGGACAGGGATCATAGTAATTTCAGTCCTCTCTGAACATGCTTAGAAGCTTCAGCTGTGATGTCTTCCAGAACCTTATCCTTCTGGTCACCTGCCTTTGGGCTTTCTTTTCTTGGTCATTGACTTCCATAAAATATGCCTCCTCTAGCGTATTTTCTGCTGAATAATCTTTGTTGAATACAGTGGGCTTTTACATTATCTTAAATGATCCTTCTTTTAAAGCAGACTAACATTGTGTCACCTTTGTTGGCCATTTTGTAGTTAGTCCATATTGAGCCTGCAGTGAAGTAAACTTCATTTTTTCTTAATCTGCACATAAAATATTTTCAGTGTTTCCTCATTATGTACATTAATAATTATTCTGTCTCTATTAAAATTTATTTTTGCTAGTTTCTACACTGCCATTTTCTCGTTTAACTAATAGTTATTCTCCTAGTTCTACATTTAGCAGTTAATACTAGTTTACTGGTAGTAATATCAAGTAATTGCTAGGTAAGTATAATTTTACATCATAATTCACATCATTAATAAATTAGTAACAAGGCAGAATCTCTGGCTGCCCTGAGCAGACCATTAAAGACCAGAGGAAGTGGCTTTAAGAACAAATTTGAAAGGAAAGTGAATTTTATCTATTTTTTAAATTTATAAAATCAGAATTTTTGTTATTTGACTCTCTAATATAAAGAATGAGGAAGAATTTGTTATAATGTAGGAACAGGAATGAACAGTTTTTTAAGGCAGAGAAGTCTAGTTTGTGTGCACAAACCTGGAGGGAAGAGATGGTTATAGACACTTTGAAAACTCTCAGGAGTTCGTTGTGGCCAAGTTAGAGAATAAAGCACCAGAGAGATACTCTGGGCAGACAGAAATGAAGCTGGAAAAGTAAACAGGTGCCATAGTGTTCAGAGCCTTGCATGTAAATTCTGGCAGGGACCTTGAAAAAGCACTTAACCTCCCAGACGTAGTTTTCTTAATTGCCTGGTAGAAGGATACACTGGGTTGAGTGCAGTGGTTCACACCTAGTGAGCACTTTGGGAGGCCGAGGCCAGAGGATTGCTTGAGTGTAGGAGTTTCAGACCAGCTTGGGCAACATAGTGAGATGTCTCTACTAAAAAATAAAATTTAGCTGGCTGTGATGATGCATGCCTGTAGTCTCGGCTACCTGGGAGGCTGAGGCAGGAGGATTCCTTCAGCTCAGGAGTTAGAGGTTGCAGTGAGCTGTTACTGTGCCACTGCACTCCAGCCTGGGCAATGGAGCAAGATGCTGTCTGAAAAAAAAAAAAGAAGATAAAACGAAACCTGCCTTGCCATGGCAGTAGAGGTGAAGGGGGTACTGCTCCTAGCTCCTCACATATAAGGGTCTCAAAGCATATTTACAAATAATTTTAAATATTCTTTATCTGGTGAAGAAAATTGTCATTGTACCATGGAATAAAAAGAATAAGTTGACTAAAGATTTTTTAACAGCCAAATATTATAATTTATTAATTATTTTTCTCAATTGGCCAAAATTTTAGAGGCATTATGAAAATTTGTTGAGTTAGAGTTTTTTTTGGTTATTTTATTACTCAGTATTTAAGTTTGAAAAGCCAGAAGACTGGTGTTAGAGGTTATGAAATCTTTTATTCTGCTTGATATGAATGGGATGCTTCTAATTAATTGTGTAGAGATGGCTTTGCAAATGCATGTACAGGTAATTATCTTTGTGAGTAGTCTGGAAAAATTTGTTTGGTATAGTTTTAAGACCATCATTTTGTGTTTTCTCCTAGTTTTGTAAATTTAAATAGAAAACATATGCATATCAGTTCTATAGATTTGTAACTTACAGCTACATATAATTATTGTAAAACTAATGCTTTTATAAAATACTAGAAAATAAAAAGGTGGATTCACGCCACCCAAGCTAACTGCTAACATTTTAGAAAATTTCCTTCCTATCTTTCTATATTTGCATATGATCATTTCAAACACAGGTTTTTTTTTAATTGTAAAAGTAGGACATTTTAATGACTTTTTTTTTTTTTTTTTAAAAGAAGTGGGTGGTAAAAGTTGACCCTCTTCTCTACCCTTTCTCCACTTCCCAGAGGTAGTCTTTATAGCTGCTTTTCTTCTTTGTATTCAGATAGCTTCCAGGGAGCCTGACTCATGGCAATCTGGAGTCAGGATGTAACTAATATATTCAGTAGATATTAGTTGCATTAAACTTTATATCTATCTCATTTAATTGTTGATATGAGTAAACAGTTAAAAAGCATGATTCTGGTTAAAATTTAATCAAGTTATGATTTTATCTACTATTTAATCATTCATTATGTCCTCAGTTTGATACTAATTGGTATCACTACAGTTGCTGCCTTTGGTTCCTAGTACTTTTTGCACTTGTTAGCTTTGGCTGACATGGACTAGATTTGCAGTGAACTGATTTACAGTACTTGCTGATTTTGTCCAGACCTTTCACTGAAATATTCTAACTGTGACTTTTAGTTTGCAGCACAGATGTAAAATTGCTCTGTTGTATGTACCATCTTGTTTTATAACTTTATAACAGGATGACTTTGGGGGTACATAAAATTAACAAATAAATTTAAATTATCTTATCAGGGTTCATGATACTTTCCCTTAAAAGGCATATTTAGGTAGTCTTCAGATTTGATAAATGAATGCTAGGGGTTTTAGATTAGGAGCCAAATGTATCTTTTCTATTTCTTTTCTTCATTATACCAAGGCTTCACTGATGTATATAGACATACAGATGGCTAGGTTATCTACTAAAGTAGAGATGTAATCTTTATTTAGTTCTAGAAACATAACTTGGGTGTCTATGATTCAGCCATGTACAGTGCTAGGCAATGGGATTAAAAACATTGAATAAGACACAGTTTTTTCCTTTGACTTTGCAGTTAATTTTTATCCTTTTTGGTTTTCTACAGAATTGAATACTGAAAAGCATAGACTAGGAAGTTTGGAGGAAGTGGAGAAAGGAGCAGGAAGTAGTTTGAAGTGCTTTAGTGAACTATAAATAGAATCAAAGTGAAGAATGGATATAACAGAGGAGCCCGTTGATCTCCTCAACCCTGGACTCTTACGGGGCATGTGACTTGTTGCAAGAATGAACCTAATCTATGCTGAACGCATTCTTCTAAGAAAGTTTTTGTAAATCAGTACATTTATTATTAAACATACCTAGAAACTTATTTTTGACCAACGATATGATTGGCAAGTAAAGTATCTTCTACAAACAGAGAAATGAAGGGATAAGGACAGTTGCCCTTTAAACAGGAAGGTCTTGTCTTACAAACTCAAATGCATTTGAGATGAATAACCCTGTTTATATACGTGTCATGGCTTCCACTGGTTTTGCAAGACCTCATTTGATGATCTAAGTACATGTGATCATTCTTCACTGAGAAATGCCTATGGCACCTTTTTTGTTTGTTTTTAATTTCAAAATTTCAGATGTTAGACCAGCAAATACTATAATGTGTTCTTGAGGTAAGATACAGTGATGCATTTTTAATATGATTTTTGTTTCCTCTATTCCTTTTTTCTGTCATCTAACACTTATTTTGTAATGATGTATTTAAAAAAATTATCAGCTTCTTTCAATATAAAGTTATTAATTTATTGTGAAAATGACATCATTCTCATTTTTTCTCTGTGATAGATTAAGGTCTGACATTTTATTTTCCTGTGACATCTTAAGAATTGTAGACAAGCACTAATCTTTTGTTACAGTTATTTTGCCAGATATAAGGGAGGCAATGAAGTTAAGTAGGTTTCATTGTGTAGTAGAGGTCAGGAAGCCAGTAGTTTACTTCCTATGTCAAGCATTTTCTGTTGTTCATACAATGCATTAGATGCATTTTTGGCTTATATTACTCTTTGCTCATTGATACAGTTCATGGCCATCAATCTGTCTTTAAACTTCAGACATCATTTTTGGTAAATAGGATAAACTATGTTGATTTTCTGATAAAATATTTATTTACTGTAACTTAAATGCCTCTCCTTAAAAACCAAGTGCTGGAAATGAGTTTAACATATCAACCAAGCCAACTTGTATGTATTTGATGAAGTCTAGGCTTATGAAATTCAATTCCAAAGAAATGGAGTTTGAAAAAAGAGGTTTTATTTCACATGTTATTAATTTTAAATGTTTGTTATGTGCTATAAATAAATGGCTATCTCTTCTCACCCTATTCATAGAAAATCTGCTTTACTACATTCTTCCCCTCTAGTTTTATTAAAGTGTAATTGACAAAAATTGTACATATTTAGAGTGTACATTGTGGTGTTTTGATATGTGCTGCTTTACTGCATTCCTACTGAATGTTGGTTACATTTGTATTTTATCCCCTTGTATGTATTAGATACAGAGTACATATTTGTTGATCATTTCCCTTTTAACACTATGTATAGTATACTAGTTTTCTTTTACCAACTAATGTTCCATTTTTTTTTTTCTTTCTTTCTTTTACCAGTTTCTCAAACAATTAGGTCTGCATCCTAACTGGCAATTCGTCGATGTATATGGAATGGATCCTGAACTCCTTAGCATGGTACCAAGACCAGTCTGCGCAGTATTACTTCTCTTTCCTATTACAGAAAAGGTAATTGTTAAGTAAAATAGAAAGTTTCTGGTAAATACAATTTTTGTTTTCATCTATCTTATTTTTTGAGCCAGGATCTCACTCTGTTGCCTAGGCTGAAGTGCAGAGATGTAATCATGGCTTACTGCAGTCTCAACTTCCCAGTCTCAAGCAATCGTCCTGCCTTAGCCTTTCAAGTAGCTGGGACCACAGGCATGTTTCACCACACCTAGCTAATGCTTGTATTTTAATTTTGTAGAGCAGGGCCTCACTGTGTTGCCTGGGCTAGTCTCCAACTCGGACTCAAGTGATCCTCCCACGTTGGTCTCCCAAAGTGCTGGGCTTATAGGCATGAGCCACTGTGCCCAGCCCAATTTCTTTTTCTTCTTTTTTTAATTTACAAAGTTTTTGATAAATACAATATTTAAGAACAAATGATCCCCTTGCATAAAATTAGGCAATCTAGGCAGTGAAGAAATCTTAAAAATGTTTTTATTAAAGAGATGATATTTAGATTTTGATGACAGTAAAGTCCTAGGTTAGTGCTTTAAGCTTGGGTAGTTTTCTTATTTTATAAAATTTTGTTTGTCTCAGCTGTGTTTTGATGTCACATGTGATCACATTGTGATTTATATATTTTAGAAATTTTAAATACTAGAATAAACTTAAATACAGTTTTTTCAATACAAATAAAAAAGGAATCTCCTTTGCCTATTTTAAGTTGGTAGGGGAAACTGATACCGTGGGTTACATTACTTTCAAAATAAACTTGAATGGGAATCACTAAGCTTAAATACATTTTAATTGGCAGATTTGGGGTGTATTGGGGATTATAAAAAGCTATTCTTTGAGCTCTGTATTTAAATTCAAGTCTACATATTTTAGTCCTTTTTTCTAGAATGATGTGTGTGTATGTTTCTGTGTGTGTATATATGTATATGTATACATACATATACATATATGTGTGTACATATACACACACACGCACATATATATGCATAGTGGAGCCAGAACTTTTGAGTGCATTTTATAATAGATTTTGAGGCTATATCCTTCTGATTTTTATTTTTGAAATTAGAAACAGTAGGATGATTGCAGTAGTTATGAAAAAATGAAGAAGTAAGTGGGACAATGTGAGAGAAATATGTTGATGATTTGGCATATTTGTGCTCAGGTCATCCTATTCTTCAGGACTAAATGGAGCCAAATCCCACAGGATTTAAGACTTAGACTTTGCTTAGTCCTGGAAATTCCTGGATCATTTTCTTTATGCCATAACAAATTAGCCTCAATTCAAGGTAAATTAAATAACATTGAAAATTTTCTCTCTTCTACTTAAGGGTTCTACAAAACAAATTATTCAGTAAAAGAAATGGTATTTCTTTGCATTTGCTATTCATAATAGAGAAATTTGGAGTTAGGAATTTCTTAGTGATTGTCTAGTGTTAGACCAAACCTCTACACAATGATAAGGTTATGATTATTGACATTTATAGAAGAGTTAAGACAAGAACTTAAGTTTACTCTCTTTTAATCCAATGTTATTTTTACCTTTTTTTGATTACAAAAATGAGCCAACAGATAACTATCCCAGGACCCCAATTGTAATGAACAGTAAATAACTGAAAAAAATTCAGTTGCCTAAAGCTCAGGGTTTCTTAGCTGATGTGATACAAATAGTAGTTTTTTGTCTGAATTGGAAATTTCCAAACCACTGGTTTTTTATGACATTTTTTGTAAAAAATAAATTAGATTTGATCTCTTTCAGTTAGTGAGTCATCAGTATTAAAAAGGCATATTATCCTTATTAATAGGATTTAATTTAGTAGATTATCAGAGCTAAAAAACTTTCAACTCCTTGTTAAAGGTAGAACACAGTTCTAAAGTATTGCATAAGTAAATTTGTACTTACATAAGTAGAAAATTTATGTAAGTAAATATATAAGTAAGCATAAATACTTATATAACTATAATAACGTATAAGTAGAGAATATAAATGGCACGTACCACTTTTAGATGTCTTACAGTTTTGTAGATCCCTATTTCAGCTTATAGGTGATATATTGCAAAGTTATTAAGAGGCTATCTAGTGCATTCTCTAGGAGCTGCGAAGTGTTTGTCTTTGAAGTTCCAATTTAGAAATTGAATATGAAGTTGTGAATGACTTAAGCAAAGGAACTGTCATGGGTACCTCATTACCCTTTATGTATGTATGTATGTATGGTATGTATGTATATATTATTTTTTGAGACAGCATCTCACTCTGTTGCCCAGGCTGGAGTACAGTGGCGCGATCTCGGCTCACTGCAACCCGTGCCTTCCAGGTACAAGTGATTCTCCTGCCTCAGCCTCTGGAGTAACTGGGATTTCAGGCGTGTGCCACCATACTTGGCTAATTTTTTATATTTTTAGTATAGACAGGATTTCACCGTGTTGGTCAGGCTGGTCTCAAACTCCTGACTTTGAATGATTTGCCCACTTTGGCCTCCCAGAGTGCTGGGATTATAGGTGTGACTTATTACCCTTTAAAGTCAATCATGGGTTTTTAAAAATAAATTTTATTGTGTACATTTGAAGTTTACAACATAATATAGGATTCATATACATTGTAAAATAGTTACAATAGTGAAGCAGATTAACATATCTATCATCACATAGTTACTTTTTTTGTGACAAGAGCAGCTAAAATCTACTTATTTAACAAAAATCTCTAATGCAATATAATTTTATTAACTAGTCTTCATGTTGTACATAAGATCTCTAGACTTGTTACTTGTTTTTCCTACACATCTGCTATTTTGTGTCCTTTGACCTACATCACATCACCTCCCCGCCAACCTCTGTTTCATTCTTTCTGTGTATTTGACCTTTAAAAAAAAAAAAAAATTCCACGTATCAGTGATATTATACAATATTTTTCTTTCTGTGTCTGGCTTATTTCACTTAGTATAATGTCCTTCAGGTTCATCCATGTAGCAAATGCTAGGATCTCCTTTTTTTAAGGCTGAATAATATTTGTGTGTGTGTATGTGTGTCTATATGTATACCGCTTTTTCTCCCAACCAAGTACTAACCAGGTCCAACCCTGCTTAACTTCTGAGATCAGACGGGATTGGGTATATTCGGGGTAGTATGGTCGTAGACTATACCGTGTTTTTATCTGTTTAACCATCTATGGACATTTGGGTTGTTTCCATATCTTGGCTATCGTGAGTAATGCTGCAGTGAACATGGAAGTGCGGATATCTTTACAAGGTAGAGATTCATCTCCTTTACAAGGTGATTCGTCTCCTTTGGATATGAATTGCTGAGTCATATGGTAGTCTATTGTTAATTTCTTTAGAAATCTCCATACTGTTTTTCATAATGGCCGTACCAATCTGCATTCCGACTAACAGTGCACTTGGGTTCCCTAAACTCCATGCCCTCACCAACATTTATTATCTCTTTTTGATAATTGCCATCAATGATAGTGTTTTTTTTTTATTATTATTATTGTTGTTTGTTTTGAGACAGAGTCTTACTCTGTTGCCCAGGCTGTAGTGCAGTGGTGCGATCTCAGCTCACTACAACCTTTGCTTCCTGGGTTCAAGCAATTCTCATGGCTCAGTCTCTGGAGTAGCTGGGATTACAGGCATGTGCCACCACGCCTGGCTAATTTTTATATCTTTAGTGGAGACGGTGTTTCACTGTGTTAGCCTGGCTGGTCTTAAACTCCTGACCTCAGATAATCCACCTGCATCAGCCTCCCAAAATGCTGGAATTACAGGTGTGAGCTACTGTGCCCGGCCAATGATAGTGTTTTGAATATGTTCTTTGTGATAGTGCAGTCCAGCCAGTAAATCATAGGCAAAGAGGCTATAAATTTATTTCTCTCTGATGTTTATGTCTCTTGGCCTTAATATTTTTTACTTTTTGATCTAAAATTTCTTTTTTTCCCTTTACTTTGTATCATTTTAGGACTTTTTTCCTATACATTACATCTTGAAATTATCAAATCTTATTTTGCTTTGTCATCAGGAACATTAACAACAGACTAAGCTGTAGAACTGTAAACTCTTCAGCATAAGATCGTAATATACCGAATCTTTCTAGTTTTTTATCAGACTTACTTTTCATTCTGAAAATGTTACTTGAAATGTCATTTAGAAGCACAGTAATAAAATTCATATTTTGAACATAGATACATTTGTTGTTAGAAGCAGTTTATTATTTTTTTCTCCGATAGGCAAGAGATAAAAGAAGCAGTTTCTTAACTACTTATAGGTTTTCTATAGACATCGTTTGTTTCTTTTATTGCAGGGAATCAGGAAAATATTTCTGTAAGACTAGATAGTAAATATTTTCAGCTTTGCAGGCCTTAAAGTCTCTGTTGCAACTATTTGACTTTGCCTTGTAAACAGCCATAGACAATACATAATGAAATTTTACTTAAGAAAAGAGGCAGTGGGCCCGATTTGGCCTGTAGTCTGTCATTTGCTGATCCCGTTCTATTAGAAGCAGAAAGTTATGGGAAAACTATAAACAAAACAATAAAATCATCTTTCTCCTCCCCACCTCACCAATTTTTTAACCTTTTTGCTATTTTTTACTCTTTCTTACACTATTAGGAAACTGAGATACAGAGACATTAAGTAATTTGCTAAAGTCACACAGCTAATAACAGCTGAGCCAGGATGTGGGCCCAGGCAGTCAGCTGTAGAGCCCACATTTTTGATGCTTATTATTATACCCTATTGTTTTTATAACCAGTTATTATAGATAATGGTTAGTGTCAGTTACAGATTATATAATGTGAATTTTATAAATATGCTATGATTTTCCAAAAGGAAAAATATTTTTGCCAATGATAAACAATATAGAAATGTAACAATTAGCAAATAAAAGTTCTCCAGTAATCTCTTGGCCCAAAGATAACCTCTATTAAGTTTTTACATAGCCTTTCAGACTTTCCAATATGTATGTACATATTTTAAAAACATAAATGGGAATTGTTATTAATACATACTGGCCTATAACCACACTTAGTTGTGGACAAAGTTCTAAATCAGAATATGTAAATCTAGTGTGCTTTATAGTATTCTATTATGATATGCCATAATATATGTTAACCACATCTCCATTGATGGATATTTAGAATTTTTTCCAGTTTTGTGCTCTTAGAATTATATATCATTTTAAAGATTATGTCTTAGACCAATTTCCTACAAAGGAAATTGCTTATTGGAGTGTATGAGAATTTAAAATGTTAATACATATTGCCATATGCCCAGTAACATGATTGTACAAATATATACTTTTAATAATAGCATAGGAGAATACCTTTTTGCCCATACCTTCACCATCACTGGCTACTGCTATTCATTTTTCAATCTTTTATCAGTCTGGTAGGTGATAAATTAATTATTTTAAACTCTTTTATAAAAATATTTTTTATCATTTATATTTTTTCTTTTACAGTCTGAGTTTTTAAATGTTATTTTCCACATATACACTATTGCCTTTTTTTTTTTTTAACAGTATGAAGTATTCAGAACAGAAGAGGAAGAAAAAATAAAATCTCAGGGACAAGCTGTTACATCATCAGTATATTTCATGAAGCAAACGATCAGCAATGCCTGTGGAACAATTGGACTGATTCATGCTATTGCAAACAATAAAGACAAGATGCACTTTGGTAAATGATATTTCATTACTGCATTTTTTTTGCCCTTAATATATGTTACTTTCATTGAGCAGTAGGTGGTGCTCTAATTCTTTCTTCAAACTATAAAATAAAGCATTCCCTGCTTCTTTTATGATGGGAATGTATATACTGTTAGAAGAAATATTAATCCTTCTCATTCTTTTATATTGTTGACTAATAGAGGTTAAACAAATGAACAAATATTAATAATGTAAGGCTTATCATTTATAACATGATCCTTACATTTCTAATTTACCAGTGAAATAATTTAACCTGAAGAATAGTAGCATACTTCTAGTATTTTCATATATTGGTCTCTCTGCTATATCAAGCCTTTTAAATTTTATCTTCTTTCATATTCTCAGAATCTGGATCAACCTTGAAAAAATTCCTGGAGGAATCTGTATCAATGAGCCCTGAAGAACGAGCCAGATACCTGGAGAACTATGATGTCGGTACCTTCTTTCTGTTTTGATCTCATATGTGGACAAAGTTTTGTGGGATTGTAGATGTGTTTGGGGGTTTTGTCTTGAAACCATAGTTTTGAGCAGTTATGGATTTTATTGTATCCATTAAGAAAAGCCTTTTGTACTTTTCAGATAACTTTGAAATAACCATAAATGCTGATAAGTTGACATTTCTTTTCTATGTTCAGAGCTGACTTAATGGATAAAAGCAGTTTGATTTACAAATTTTTTTTTTTTTTTTTTTTTTTAAATGGAGTCTTGCTCTGCCGCCCGGGCTGGAGTGCAACAGTGCCATCTCTGCTCGCTGCAAGCTCTGCCTCCTGGGTTCAAGCAATTCTTGTGCCTCAGCCTCCTGAGTAGCTAGGATTTCAGGTGCGTGGCACCACACCTGGCTAGTTTTTCTATTTTTAGTAGAGACAGGGTTTTGCCATGTTGGTTAGGCTGGTCTCGAACTCCTGGCCTCAAGCAGTACCTCCACCTCGGCCTCCGAAAGTGCTGGGATTACAGACATGAGCCACCGTGCCTGGCCCTGATTTACAAGTTAATGAAATATCTTATGATTGACTATTCCTTACCATTCCCTCCCTAAAATAAATATATACCTGCCAGTACCCTATGTATCTTTTATTGGGAATTTGGAACAAGGCTGAAGATGAAAGGAAAAAGCAAAGGTTTCAAGGTAGACGTTAGACCATACTGTGGCTATTTTATCAATGTAATAACCAGGCCTCAGAAACTAGGGTATATATATATATAATATAAGTCATATTTAATTCAGGTGATAGTGATTGTACCCCTTCATATAACTGTTCTGAAATTGTTTTTAAAATTTATTACTTTTGGAATCAATTTTTCTTTTGAAATCTTTTGACTTTTTAATAACATTATTAAATAGATTATAAATTCTTTGAAATTAGGCATATAGTCTACAAATTATTTGGCTAGAACAATGCTTTATGTAGAATTTGTGCCTGATAAATTAATTGATTTGATTATGTTTTTATGCTTTCCAATATACTTTGAAAATTTTAAATTGTTTTTTTCTTTAAAAAAAACTAGAGACTTCATAAAACATCTTTATTATACATAAAAATTAACAACATGAAAATCAGTAATCTTACTAATGAGAGGTAGATAAACATTAATATTTTTTAGGGAGCGTATGTATATGCACAGTTTTTTAATCAAGAATTTGATCATACTGTAATACTGTTTTATAACTTGCTTTTTTCACTTATCACAAACGTATTACATACCAGTAAGTATATATTTGATATTATTTAATGGCTGCATAGTTTCCATTATGTAGTATTGTATTTCACCAATAAATTATTGTTAGAAATTTAATAGTTTTTCTTCTTTTTCACTATTTTAATAACTACTGCAAGGTACATCATTGTAGCTAAATCTTCGTAAATATCCTTAATTATATATAATTATGTAGAATTATATGTAAATATATAAACTCCTAGAAGAGAAATTGCTGGATAAAATAGTTTGCATGTTTTTAAGGCTTGGATATTTATTTATTGCCAAATTGCTGTTTATAAAGATTGTACTTTCACCTGTAATTTACTATTGTGCCCATTTCTCTGGATGTTTGCAAATAGTGGGTACTATAAAAGTAGTTTATTTTTTAGTTCAGGAAACTAAATTCTGTAGCTTCTAATAAATGCATGAGTTGTGCTCCACATTTCTCAATTGCTGACTGAAACTGCATGATTAAGCATAAATACAGCCAGAGCTGCAGAGGAGCATGGAACCTGGAGAAACAGATGAGATAAGCTTCTTTAGTCTCTATCTGTGAAATGCTTACTTTATTCTAGTCTCAGTCGAATAAAGTGTTAAGTGGTAGTTCTAACAACTGAATAAGTTAAATAGCCCCTACTTACAGCCTGGAAATTGCAAATAATCAGATACTCAATTTCCTAAGTTTTCAGAGATTTGTGGGTTACACAGTATAGTAATTCATTTGATTACCCAGATACCATTCTTAAATATCTAGTACTAAGCTGTTCTTAAATTTCCTTCAGTTTGTTGTTTCTTTTAGAAGACTTTAGGTGTTAAAATTTAGCTTTGTTGTCTTCATTAAAAAGTTGGGTATAGCCATTTTTTTCCAATGAATACCTTTATTCTTATTACAGGCCATCCGAGTTACTCATGAGACCAGTGCCCATGAAGGTCAGACTGAGGTATTTCACATTTTTTCTAAATTTTTCTTGCTATGTGTAAATTTAACCATAGTGTTATTATTATAGGACATACAGTTTTAGATAGTTACCTGGCTTTTTCTTTTTATGGTCTCGATCTGCTGACCTTGTAATCTGCCCGTCTCGGCCTCCCATAGCGCTGGGATTACAGGCATGAGTCACCATGCCTGGCCGAAACCACACACTTTCATGTAAAAGAGGACATTGCCTTTATACTTAAAAAAAAAACTTGAAAAAATATTTGATTTAAAAATCGTTGATTTTGGCTGAGCATGCTGACTCACACCTGTGTAATCCCAGTGCTTTGGAAAGTTAAAGCAGAAGGATCGCTTGAGGCCAGGAGTTTGAGACCAGCCTGGGCAACATAGCAAGGCTCTGTCTCTACAAAATGTAATAAAAATTAGCCAGGTGTGGTGGTGCACGCACCTGTAGCACTAGCTACTAGGGAGGCTGAGGTGGGAGGATAACTTGAGCTCAGGTTATAGTGACCTGTGATTGCACCATTGCACTCCAGCATGGGGGACAGAGCAAGACTCTGTCTCTCTAAAATATATATATAGAGAGAGGTTGCTCTTAGGCGCTGCTTTCAAAGGTGTGGATTATTGTTTTTGACTAAGTTTATCCATACGCAAACACATAAGAGGCCCGTCTAAATGTTTTTAACACCAGATTGGAAATTCATGAAATGCTGTTTTGTATTGCTTTATATGATCCTGAACATATTAATAATCTTCACTATGCTTTGATTTTTTGTTTGCAAATTTATAGTGTTAAAATTGGTGATGATGAGGATCAGCATAAGTTTATTGTTAAGACATGAAGACAATTACGGCCGGGCACAGTGGCTCACGCCTGTAATCCCAGCACTTTGGGAGGCCGAGACGGCGGATCACGAGGTCAGGAGATCGAGACCATCCTGGCTAACACGGTGAAACCCCGTCTCTACTAAAAATACAAAAATTAGCCAGGCGTGGTGGCGGGCGCCTGTAGTCCCAGCTACACGGGAGGCAGGGGCAGGAGAATGGCGAACCCGGGAGGCGGAGCTTGCAGTGAGTGGAGATCATGCCATTGCACTCCAGCCTGGGCGACAGAGCGAGACTCTGTCTCAAAAAAAAAAAAAGATATGAAGACAATTACTTGTAATAAAGCAATTAAATGCTTTAATACATATTAACTACAAAAAATATTTATTTTTGCCATACTTCCCTTGCCCCCTTTTTGGAGTTTTGTCCAAATTATGGATTTACATTTAAACTTCTTTTTAAATGATCTTCATGTCTCTTTTTTCAGACCTAACCGCCTTCATTCTTTCCAGTCTTGGATGCCTGTTAGATATCATCTGAATGACCCACTGTATTTTAGAATGCACTTTTGTTTGAGCTTATTATCTGTATCTTAAACTTTTTCTTCCCTTTATTGTTTCTGTTTCTTACAGTAGTTCCACCATACTTTTTCCCACTGTAACTAATCTAGTACAAATTTGTTAACTTCTGGTTTAGAAGATCTGCTTTTTATGCAGATTCTCAGTTTTTATTCCAATTCTCATTCATTTTCACACAATTCTGCTGGATTCCCTTTCCTGAAGTGTACCTGAACCAGTTGGCTGCTAAAATTTTTCTAGGGGTTTCCTAGTGCATACAGCAGTAATTCTCAAGGTGGAATGCAGATAGAAGTTAGAATTTTCTGGAGGGCTTTTTTACACTACTGTGCACTCCCATAAGAAATAATCTTTTCTGCTCCTTTCCCATCTCCCACAGTTTAGAAACACTACTGGAGTGAGCCATATTTTTTATGTATATTATAACCCTAAAATGTGTCGGAGTGAAAAAAAACAGTGTTTGAGAATATGATTGCTCAAGCCTGTGCAGTCAGTTCCAGGCTCTTTAGCCTAGCTGCATTCAACATTTTCCTAACCCTGTCTTCCTTTTTTCTTTCTTGCTTGCTTGCTTGCTTTCCATTCTTTCTTTCCTTTCTTTCCCTTCTTTCCCTTCCTTCCATTCCTTCCTTCCTTTCCTTCCTTTCTTTCCTTCCTTTCTTTCCTTTCTCTCCTCTCCTCTCCCCTCTCTCCTCTCTCCTCTCCTCTTCTTCTCTCTCCTTCTCTCCTTCCTTCCTTCCTTCCTTCCTTCCTTCCTTCCTTCCTTCTTGCTTGCTCTCTCTCTCTCTCTATTTTAACTTGTCTTTCTAACTTTAAGTATTCCTTTTTAGCCATCCCTTATTTCCTTATTTTATTATTGCTATTCTTCTTGCAGTACTCTGTTTCTGAAAATATTCTTTCCCTCAATTTCTTGCACTTCTTACTTCTATCCATTCTTCAAGACTCGGCTTAGTATGATCTTCAGCATGATGCAGTTCCTGATTATCAGAACTGGATGTATTTTATCCTTTATATGAACTCTTTATATGACTACTGCAACTATTTGCATTTTAGCTACTTCATATTCTCTTTCATTTTTTAAGATGTGCATTTTTTTTCACATTTTAAAAACTCTATAATTAGAGTATATCTTACAATTGATGTCATAGTTTAACTTGGTATTATTCCCATCTTAGTGGTTCACAAAATGGTGTGTCATGTAACCAATGGCGCCTTAGTGTGATGAAGTATGGTATCATATCTCCCTTTCTGTGACTCTTAGGCCTAGCATTGGCATCTGATTCATTTGTGCATGTTCCAAATTACCCAATACTGTTCCTTACACACAAATACAACACATGTATGTGTGTTTAACCAGAATTAGCTCAGAACTGTCCTTGGTAGTGTAAGAAATAAAAAAAAAGTGGGGGATGGGAGCGGCAAATGTTAGTTTTCTGTAGTCCTCTGAGTAAACGAAACATATCCATGAGCCATTGTTTCCAAATAGGACAGTGTTAACATTTTGGAAAGGGTTCAATTCTTTTTTGTGCGGGGCTGTTTTGTGCACTCCAGGGTGGAATATACTGACCTCTAGTTGCCATATGTTAGTGTCTTCCAGTCACTGAGAGAACAAAAACCTGCACCACACATTTCAAAATCCAGTTGTCATCTGACTTTAAATCCTGCACCAGGAACTTTTAATATTTCTCTGATCATCTCATTTAAGATTCATCTCCTGGCTGGGCATGGTGGCTCATGCCTATAATCCCAGCACTTTGGGAGGCCAAGATAGGTGGATACCCTGAGGTCAGGAGCTCAAGACCAGCCTGGGCAATATGGTGAAACCCCGTCTCTACTAAAAATACAAAAGCCAGCCGGGCGTGGTGGCATGTGCCTGTAATCCCAGCTATTCCGGAGGCTGAGGCAGGAGAATTCCTTGAACTTGGGAGGCAGAGGTTGCAGTCAGCCAATATCCCACTACTGCACTTCAGGCTGGATGACAAGAGCGAGACTCTGTCTCAGGAAAAAAAAAAAAAAAAGAGTTATCTCCCGTCTATGGGCTTAAGAGTGTTCAGTGTATTATTATCTCCATTGCTGTTTGTATTGCAGCCTACTGATTTTTTTTTTGTCAGTTCCTACAAAATACCTAGGTCTTTCCTGTCTGTGTTAGTCTGCTTCATCTCAAATTATTACCAGGTGACTTTAACAACAGAAATTTATTATCACACAGTTCTTGGGGCTGGAAATCTAACAGCAAAGTGTCAGCAGAGTTGGCTTTTACTGAGATGTCCCTGCCTGGCTTGTAGACTACCACCTTCTCACTGTAGCCTCACATGGCCTGTCCTGTGTGTTCATATGGAGGGGGCGTGGAGAGAGAGCCGGAGAGAGAGGGACAGAGACACATCAATCGACTAATATCTCTTCCTCTTCTTATAAGGATATCAGCCCTATTGGATTAGTGCCCCATTCTTATGACCTTACGTAACATTAACTACTTCCTTCCATGCCCTGTTTTCAAATATAGTCACGTTGAAGGTTAGGGCTTCAACGTATGAATTTGGCAGAGGGGACACAATTCAGTCCATAACACCATCTTTGTGCTTTCTAATGACGCAGTATACTTCTGGGTATACCACTTTTCTTTGCAGAATTGGAGACTTCTCATCTTTCAGGTCTCATCTTAAAAGTCACTTTTCAGGCTGGGCGCGGTGGCTCACGCCTGTAATCCCAGCACTTTGGGAAGCTGAGGCGGGCGGATCACAAGGTCGGGAGATCGAGACCATCCTGGCTAACACGGTAAAACCCCGTCTCTACTAAAAATACAAAAAAATTAGCCAGGCATGGTGGCACACGCCTGTAGTCCCGCTACTCGGGAGGCTGAGGCAGGAGAATGGTGTGAAGCTGGGAGGCAGAGCTTGCGGTGAGCCGAGATCGTGCCACTGCACTCCAGCCTGGGTGACAGAGCAAAACTCTGTCTCAAAAATAAAAAAAATAAAAAAAAAAAGTCACTTTTAAGAGAAGCCTTCTTTCATCACTGTTAATTAGGTTCTTCTGTCTTATTTTCTGTCATAAAATCCTGTTTATTTTCTTCCTGGCACTTTAAAATAGTCAATAATAAGTTATTTCTTCCTTGTGTGTATTTGTTTATTCTGCTAACTAGAATGTAAATCCCATGATGGAATAGGCCTTGTTTGTCTGTTCACTTAGAATCCCCAAGACAAACTGGACATATATAGGCATGTTTAAGAATTACATGGTTTGAAGGTAAGAGCATAGGATATAGGTTTGTATACTGACTCCACTGCTTATTAGCTTAGGCAGGACACTTTCTTTAGCACAAAATAGAAATAATGGTATTTACCTTATGGGATTGTTGTGAAAATTAATGAGTTGATTATATAAACTGCTTAGAATAGTACCTGGCATTTAATGGGCATTCAATAAATAGTAGGCAGTAATTTTATTTACTGGCATCCAGTAAAATGAATCTGAATGGCAGAAGATGAGGCTGAAGTAATAGAGTGAAGCCATATCGGGGGGGCTTGGATTTTATAGACTGAGAACCACCAAAGATGGTACATTTACTTTTCAGCCTATTGAGTTTAAGGTGAGTTTTTTTGGGTCATAT